TTAATGGCCGGAAAGTTCATTTCGTATTTAAATTTGCCAGAAGGATTTTATATCAAAGCAGTGCCACATTAATCTACTATTATAACTATTAAAAGTACGTTTTACGGCAAGCTGATTTTTTAACCAAATATTTCACATGGTAGTCGAACTTGCCAAAAATATTGTATATCACATTAGTACCACATATTTTCAATTAAAAATTTTGCTAGTGCACTTTACATCGAGCGTTTATATACCAAATAGTTCATATTATCACTTAACTCGTGAAAAAGTTTGTATTATTTTCAATAAAATTTTCAACATTATTTTCAATAAAATTTATTGGCTTTTATTGCTTGTACACTTTTTGGTAAGCCTATTTAGTAACCATAAGGCTTATGTCTTAGCTATAAACTTGCCAAAAGGATTGTATGCCATAGTGTTACAACATTACTTTCACTTAAAATTATTACTAGTACATTTTATGGTAAATCTATTTAGTAACCGAAAAGTTCATATCGTAGGTAAACTTGCCAAAAGTATTATATACTTTTGTAGTACCACATCATTTTCAATTAAAATTATTGTTAGCACTTTTTGTATTCTTAGCAATAACAGCCTTGAGCGGAATGAAATATGCATAATTTTAATTTTAAAGTGGCTTGTATTATATGTTTACTTCACAAGCTTATGCTCGAAAATTAAATTGTAAGACAAAAAATCTCGTCATCTTTTTAATTTATACCTTAATCCTGTTTAATAATGAATTTATCGCATTTGTTAATGAATTAGATGTTCAAGTCTTTTAATCAAATTCCACAAAAAATGTGCATGATATTTATTTCAATTAAAATGAAGAACTAGATTTAATTCGTAGATCAAACGTACATTCTGAAAAATAAATAAGTTTAGCTTAAATAAATATTTAAATTAATAGATATTAAATTAATATTTAAGTCGATTGCTTTACTATTCCACCTTTTCAAAAAATATTTAGAGGAGTATGGGAAAAATTGATGATTCTGTCATTTCCATGTCTTTATGTCCCTTCGGAGTTTATTTATGCAATTCTTCCTTTGGCTCTCTTGAATTCAAAATTTTTGAAAGAACAACTTGCATATATGCATGTGTAGTTTAAAGTACTATATAAGTTTATCATTATAAGTTTAGTGTTTAAGCAAAATTTACCCTGACATCATTTTGGCTTTTGTTTCGTATTGTTTTACCCTTAAATATCTAAGTTTCATTTGGCATTCTGGTTATCAAAATTATGTGTTCAGTAGTTATTTATGCTACTGTATTTATTTTGTTATTTTTATTTACATTGTTATTTGAATGTGGCAGAATTCATAGAACCACCCCGTAAGAATATATTTTCATGGAATGTACGGAATTGACGATTCTTTTATTCCTCGGGGGGCTGTTGTCCATGTTCTGGCTACTTATAAATGTCTTTCACAGCTCACCCTTGGGGAACTATTTTGATTGCTAAACACTAAAATAACAGCTGTTCTAAGACCCAGTGACTACTTAACCCAGTGATTATGACAAAACTTCAAAAATGGTAGATTTTACAGATAATGGGTGATGCTTTTGATATATTTTATATCCGTTGTTGAACAGCCGACTAAATTTTGGGTTTACGACTACTAATGTTCAACTTCGTAGCCTTGTAATTTTGAGCCTGGATCAGTACCCCCAGAGGTATGATTTGTTATGGAAACATGAAGAACCTAGTGATTTGACAGACTTAACGTGCATCTGTCACCATTTACTAAACGGGGAGTCTTCAGACGGCGGGAATCGAACCTGCGACCTCTTGGGCATAGGCCCAGTGCCCTACCAACCAGGCTATGTTGTTCCTAGTGTTTAAGCAGTTAGAATAAAATAACCTCGCCTCCTCGTTTGGCGTTCCCTGGGCAACATTGTGGTACTATAAAGGGATTATAAGCAAATATTTTTTTTTGTTTCACAATGGCTAAGAGGTTATATGAAAAAATGGAAGTTTGATACATTTAGTATAAATAAAACAATTTAAGAACTTGATAAATAAGAATTTTTGTTGTAGCTGAAGCATTTTTAAGAGGATCACCACCATTTTAGAGGTAAGTTTCTTCGTTTCCCCATGACATCTATATGTAAGTAAAATTAGCAGATTGGTTGACTTATAACTGAAAAGACTGCTAACTATCTTTAAATTGCTAGAAGAGCCACTTAAATGTATTAAATCTGTTATAAAGTACTGAAAATGGTATCGGCAATGTATTGGAGAAAAAAGCAATTAACACTAAATTGACGATTATTTGAGCTGGCATGAATCAAATATAAAAATTCCTTATTTATGAGGCATCTAATTGTAACAATAACAGTGTTAATTTTATGTGCTAAGTGATTAAATTTGTTAGGCAATATTTATTTCAAATGAGCGGATGGCTAATATGAAGCACCATTGACATCTGTATCCATTTGACTCCATTTTTCCTCTTTCTCAGTATTTGCAGGAAATCTAATTTTTTCTTAAAGCCTATACATCAATTTTATCACGCAATATTTCAAGCATTTTTTTTTCAGAGTTCGTTTAAGGAAATATACAAACCTTTGAAACTTTTGCCTCATGGGAATAAAACTGATTCCATTTTGTTTAGAGCTATTATTTTTAGTTGTTGTTGTTGTTGCTAATTCCCATCTGGTCTGACGGGGTCAGACCAGATGGGACACTGTCTGGGACAGTCTGACACTCTTGCAAAGAAGGGACTAGACCATCCAGTCCCCTCCACCTCAGAGCTTACATACCTTGAACTTTTTGCAAGGTAAAAGGCCCAGAATAAACAAAAGTGGCTGCTTCCACCTATTCACTACTGGTATTATTTTTAGTACATGAATAAAATGAAGTTCATACAGTAGGTGATGAGGTGCTGCTTGCAATGAGATGAGGTGCTTATGAATTAAATTATCGGTAAATGGCTTTACATCAATAAATTTANAAAAAAAAAAAAAAAAAAACTCATTTGAGACACAAGATCAGTGTATTTTTGTTGGCTTTAGATTTAAAGCCGCCGAATTTATGTCAATATTATTTTTCGGTATTTACGCTTGTTGATTTCGATTTTCAAGATAAAGTTAATAAATCAAGCTTTAAACAAGCTTTTTTTTCTTTTTTTTCTTTCTTTTCATGTGCTTTGAGGTTCAAATTAATAATTTCTGCCCTGTATTTAAGTTATTTAGTCGTATCTAGTCTAATCTTATAACTAAAAGAAATGAATATTTTTCTTTTCATTTTTTAATTATTAAAAGCTATTTTTATTAATAAGGTTACGAATCTTAGCTAAACAATTTTATTTTTCTTCATGTTATGTGCTATTCTGTATGAATGTGATCATGGAGGTTGTATTAGAATTTCTTTTGAGAGAAAATAATTGTTTTCTTTAGTTATAAAAGCTTACATCCTCTATCACAGTGGTTCTTAACCTTTTGAAGCCGCGACCCAAATTTGAGATATATGTTCATGTCGCGACCCAAAAAAAAGTCAAAATTAGGCTGAGTAAGCCACAATGACTTCTTCTAGGAGGTGTTGGTATTACTTATTATTTGGTGTATTACTAACGTTTTTGGTTCGACTCAGCGCGACCCAAGAAATATGCTTCGAGACCCAATTTTGGGTCGCGACCCACAGGTTAAGAACAGCTGCTCTATCATACAGATAGACCAAAAAAAGTTCCTCTATCTCTGATCATATTTTTTTTTTTATCAAATGAGTACCTTAGAATTTTTGATACTCTCCAAAAGTGTTGCTGCACCATATCTGTCGTTTGCGGTTCTGCCCGTTGCAAGCAATTCAATCAATCACTTTTTTTTTAAATCCTTAATCGCTGAATTTTTCAAAGCTCAACTACTTTTACGATAATCTTGTAATTTCAACTCATATCTTTCAAGGTACAGAGGATATATGCTTTTTATCCTTTCAACTCAACTCCGTGTTCAAGTTTGCTCTGGAGTGTGCCAGTGTGGAGATAGCAGGTTCAAATCCTACCTTAACCTTGATGTCTCTGTCCTGTCTTAATGTGTAGTATCTATTCTTCCATTCATCAAATGACTTATAAGCTAACTTATAAGTCGTTTGACAAACAGTAACAGAATATAGTAGTGATATTTTATTTCCATCTAGCGAGACGTCTCGCTAGAGCTGAACAATGGGCTATTATCGATGGTCTTGGAAACATCCCGGAAAATATGATCCGAAAATCCTTTACAACTTTGATCCCCTTCAGAATAGATGGCTTCCCGCTTTGGCAGCCCAATGATCCGCGCATAAAGTTGAGCACTTTATGGTAAAACAGTTTAACCAGGACCGTTATCCTACATCCTAGGTTTCCTCTTTAATCGATTCTCGAACCCACTCTGTTTTGTTTAATATTGGAGATTGAAATGGGCTACAGGGCACAGGGGGTGTAGAGAAAACTCACTATCTGCGGCAACATTTCACATTCCTTCACCATTAGCGAGTGGAGAGTCATAGGAGAAGGAAGTGCGTTAATTTCTGTCTTAATTTTCATCAGGATTAAAAACTTCTAAATTAGGAAACTTTATGAGATTAAAAACTACGAAAATAGTTTTAAAAGTAAGCGTCGGGAAAATTAAAAAAAAATATTTTTGTCAATTAAATACGAAAAATATTAAGAAAGGGGAAAATATTGTAGTACATTCCAATACAAACTGAGAAGAGGATGAGAAGGAAGGGTGAAAACATGGAACCAGTCTCCTCCCCAGTCGGCGTATTCAAACGTTGTTATCGTTTCCTCCTTCTTTCGAGGCGGCCCTGACTCAAGCCCACCAAATTTTTATCAGGATTCACGCTATATTAAAAGCCGCCAAAAGAAATAACGAACTTGATTGGTGAGCTTGTGTCGGAAGAAATCTCTTGATTGCATGTGCATGAATCGCAAGCAGCGAGAATGGCTCTCGCATTCAAGGAGACTCCTGTATTAAATTTAGTTGAAGAAATAATCACAAGTGGCGGTAGAGTAGCGACGTTTCGATTCCTTTGATTTTATTTTTGTTTTCCCAAACTCTCTCATTTATTTGTTGCTAGTTGGTAGGGATGCTTTTGTGGCTCTGACTGAAATGCAATATTTGACGGAAACGCTTAGTTTTGGTGTTATTTGTGTAACTAAATGTGGAATTATTGTCTGTTACTGAATTGAAACAATATGTAATATTAGCGAACATTATTATTAAATGTGTCGTAAATGTAGTTGTGTTATCGTTCCTTGATTTCTTAGTTGAAATAAAGATGCAAATGTTATTTATATTTTTCGTTCCTTGGATTTTTATGTCAAATATACGGTGCAAAACTATAGTGAAATATTCCTATGTTGCTTCATGTGTTGTGTTTATTTTGTCTTGTGCAACGGCCGATGAAAAAGGTGGTGTTTCTGATGAAGAATTTTTAATCAAATCACATAAAGTTATTGAAGCAGTACCTAAAGTTTTAGGAAGATCAACTTCAGCTAGTGGATTACCGGATGGTAAGATTGCATGTAAATTTTTTTAATTATTTATTGACAAATTTCTCATTTGGGGAAAACTCAAAATTTTCTTTGTAAAGACAACGTTGGGAACAATTTCTTATTTTCTAAGATCCTCTTTCAAGTAAGAGATGGTTTTTTTAAATTTGATATTTTAAAGAGTTTTGCTTATTAAAACAAAAATTTATCTAAATCAAATATAATTAATCAAAATTAATAAAAATGTTTTTTTTATATTTATTGACAAATTTCTCATTTGGGGAAACTTCAAAATTTTCTTTGTAAAGACCACATCAGAAACAATATCATAATTTCTATGATCCTTTTTCAAATTAGAGATTTTTTTTATTTTATTTGATATTTTGACGAGTTTTACTTATTATAACAATAATTTATCTAAATCAAATATGATTAATATAAATGAATTAAAAAATTTTATTATTATTTATTGGCAAACTTCTCATTTGGGGAAAACTCAAAAATTTTCTTTGTAAAGACCACGTTGGAAACAATATTATATTTTCTGAGACCCTTTTTCAAGTAAGAGATGTTTTTTTAAAAAACAAAATTGATATTTTAAGGAATTTTGTCTATTGCAACAAAGATTTATCAAAATCTAAAAATTTATACTTGTTGTTATTTAATGTAGATTCTTAATTTCATACAAATCTGTGTCATTTCTTATTAATTTAGCATATTTGAACTTTATTAGCTTTTTATATAGAAAGTTAGCCATCGAAATTAGTCTATTTTTCTCATAAAATAAGACTACTTTTATTAATAATTGTTTTTAACTAGAATTTTATATACATATAAGCATCGTTTGATTACTTAGTGTGTGTTATCATTTGATTCTTTTTCACTGTTTTGTGTCATTGTTTGATTCATTTTCAAATAAAAGGTGTTTTATTAAATTTGATATTTTAAAACGTTTTGCATAATTACTACAAAAATTTATCGAAATCTAAAATTTTAAATTTTTGTTGTTATATTATATATATTCTAAACTTCTTACAAATCTGTGTTATTTTCTATTTATATAGCATTAAGTTCGAACTTCATTAGCTTTTTATATAGAATGTTAACTATTGAAATTCGTTTATTTTTTTTATTAAAATAGGACTCAACTATTGTAAAAGAATTTTTTAGAAATTTGTACTGTATGTATTGGCATCGTTTTATTTATGTTCAAAATTTATTTATAATTTAAACAAGCTTATATATTCTGTTTTATATCCTAATGAAGTAGTTTTATAAGAAACTTATAAAGAATTGTTAAAGACACACGTAAAAAATTAAAGGAGCAACAAACTTTAAATGGGGTGTTTTTAAATAGTTACCTTATTGTTGAAATTTAAATTGCCATAAAATTTTTGATTTGATATAAATTACAACATATGTAGGTGTTAGGCATGGATACAATATTTGCTTTTTAAGTTTGCTTCATTTTGTTTTGTTTAAAGTTCTTAAAATTAACCAATAATTTTAGCGTAGTCAATGATCTAGAAAATATTCAGTTATTTCAAAGCTTTTGGATTCTATTCCAATTTTTAAGTTTTCCAAACATCAAAACTGCTTGAAAATATATATTTACATAAGTTTCCTCAAATTTCTACATATTTAAATAATTTTTTTTTCCCCAAGAAGGCAACTATTTTAAGTTAGAAATTTTTTTAAGAATTCGAAGTATATCAGTTATAGAATTTTCTGAATTAGGTAAGAGAGAAATAGGCAAAGTTAATACTACTATGTATTGTTTTTTATTATATTCTCTTTATAAATCAGGAGACTCACTATTCTTGATACTGATTTTATGGATAAAAATTAACGGGGGGTGTAATATTTGATTGAATTTAGTATAACAAATAGGAATTACTTAGAAAATAATGTCTTGATTGATTTTACTTTATCATTAATTTTACAATTTGGCTTAAATTAATACTGCCTACTTTTTAAATGAGTTTATCAATTAATTTAACCAGGCCGCAGATTTTCCTCCTACCTGCTCACAATCGATGACCGAATATTTAGGGTTGGTGAGCAAGTTTTAGCTTTTAATATATCCGGTTTCAAATCAAACTACCATATTTCCCCAGAATTTGCATTTACGGGCAAGATACCAGGACACAAATTCATCAAATGTTTGAGACTGCAGTACTCGAAATGGGCTAGACTGTTTAGTTCAGAATTTCTTAAATGGACACCCAACACCATTTGGTCTTAAGACTTGTGCCACAAAAGAGAGAGTTATGAAAACATTTCTGGTATTTTAATTATTTTAATGATCTACGCATAATAATTCCTTTCAAATTTCTTCTGCGTTTAAAATATCATTATTTTGTTGCAATAAATATGTTTTAATTTTTCTGTGTTCTTTTATAGTTTTAGTCACCAAAACTTTATTCATAATACGTCAGTTTATATTTTAAAAATTATTCATTTTTCTTGTGAAAATAGTGGTGAGTAAAAATGACAGTCGTGCTTGAATTGAAATTACCTTTAGAAATGAACATTTTTTAATACTACATCAGTTTATATTTTAAAAATTCTTCATAATTTTCGTGAAAATAGTGGTGAATAAAAATTGCAGTCAGGATTGAAAGTACCTTTAGAACTGAAATATCATGCTCTGACATTAATTCACCAATTCAATCAAGCTAGAGTTTCTTGCAAATATTTTAATAACTATTTGAATTTTTAAAATATGTCCACTGATGGATATACTTGCTTTTTGCATTTTTTTAATTCAGTCATCCTTCACTTCTTTCTTATGCTTTTTCAAACAATTGTGACTTGATTCTTGATAAAAATTGATGAACTCATTAATATAAAGAAGAGATAATTTATATATATTACACAAACATTTCATTTGAAACGTATATGGTAGAATTTATTCAATGATCTTTAACAAAATCTTTTCTTAGAGACTCATATATTTTTTTGACTATATCCATTTCATATCTTTTTGATTATAATTTAAATATTCTTATAATAAAAACAATACCAATTTGTCTTAAAGATTTAAAAGCGACGTATATTTGTACAATGTTTTTAAACATATTTAAAGAGAAGCAGAAGGTCTTAAATATATTGGATTTTGGTTTTCTCTCTGAAGAAGTTAATGGTTAATATCATTATTTTTTTAACTTATTTTAATTAATAAAATTAATACTTATAATGAATAAAAACTTTGTACTAAATTTTTTCCCCTTTTTGCATATGATGATGAGAGGTTTAAAAATCTTTTGAAAACTTTGAGCTTCTTCCTGTATTGTTGAAATCGCAGTGCATTTTCAAAGTTTATTAGAATTAGCTTAAAATGCAATTAAGAAAAATTATAACACATGTTTTAAAGCTCTTCTTTAAAATTGAATTTTGGTTGGAAAGTTGCTCATTTTTGTATATCCCTAATTTAGGTAGAAGTATCTGCTTTCTCCTGTTTGCTTTTAGATTTGTTTTTAAAAATTCTGATTATTACCATCAACTTGTTGTTCGTGTTTCGAATGACATCAATGCAAATTTAAATAATTTCATTTTTCTGCAAAACTGTCTTTGCAAAAAAAAAAAAAAAAAAACTTCTCAAAATCAGTTAAAACAAAAAAGAGGCATTTCATGTTTGTTACATCACTAAAAGTCTTAAATATGAAAGTGAACACATGATGTAGATGAAAGTTTAATTTCTTAGTTGTCAATAAACATAAACCATGTTTCTTCAAGCATGTAAGAATTTCACTTTTTAAATTGTTCCTTAGGTGCAAAATTCTAGTGTTCCATAACCAAACAAAATAGTTGCTACAGACAGTTCTAAAAATTGTTCCTAAACAACAAATTACCTTTTAAATTACTGTATGTGTATCATAATACATATATATGTATATACAGGTCTGCCAAGTACTACGTTTTTTGCAAAATATTTTATAGAGTGGTAGATATTTAAAATCCAAAGCTTTCAGAACTTTTGGTAATTTTGCAAACATTTTAAAAGCCTCACTACGAAAGTACTGTAACAAAGTGTCACTGCAGATGCACTTATAAATCATTTATATGTAGTGGTACTGAAAATAAGTTTAAATGAATTAAAAAAATAATACATTAAAACATATCCATAGCTACCACTAGAATAAATTTTTCCAAAAAGCGTAGAAAGTTGGCAGCTCTGTATGTATATAATTAAAAATATCTTTGTTTAATCATTTATTTATTAACATATTTAAAACTATATGCGTCTGTGTGCATTTTTTCTCTGGAAAATTGTAAGTATTTACAACTCGGTGTTTTTCTGTTTTGGCTCTTGTTATTTCATTCTCTTGTCTACTGTTAAATTGGCTTACTTTGGCTGATGCCACAGTTTTGTTTTAAAAATACGTTGAGCGTGAGCTCTTTCACACTCTCTCGAAACAATTTATTCTTATTATTATGCGGGTGAGGTTTATTTCTTAGTGGAAAAAAATGTATGCTATTTCTTTTTGTAGTTGCTATTTTTTTTCTCCCTTAGAAAATGCTTTGAAGTTGCAGTTTAAATGTTACGCGTGCTGTTGCTCTTTTGCGGTTTTTATCTCAACATCGTTTGTTTTTCTGTAGTCTTGTTTTCTTACTTAAGTAAAAATAATAACAATAATTTGTTTGGGAAATGAAAAGTTGCGCTTTATGGCATTCAATTTTAATTGTAAGAAAAACCTTTATGGAAACGTGCAATATTCTGATTATGTTTTTGTTTTTCCAAACGATTCTTTTAATGGAATTTAAAGATGTAATGAAATTCTTTCAAAAGAACAGGATTTCTTCTTTATGCTATTTCGTTTCTTATTACAAAATCGAATTATGTTTTGATTTATGAATTGTTATTAGTGAAGGTATCGTTTGCTTGTGTTGTCATTATGGAAGCATGTGCCGTTATTTTTGAAAGTGGTATAAGTCCGAGGCTTTTAAGAGTTAGTGTTTGAATGAATTTAAAAATATTGTAAAGGTTAATCAATTTGCAATTTGTAGTTGCAATTAGT